GGGCCAAGATGAACCTGGTGCAAACGTATGGAAGGAGTGTGTTCCAGCCTCCAGTTGTTTTCTTCTGAAGCTCAGACTCTGTCACAGAATGGTGATCGTTGGAAGCTCTGTCTGACGCGTCTGTCTCCGCGACCCGAAAGGAGAAGCGTCGATGGAAGATGAAGATGATGATTAGCAAACTAGTTTTCTGATGATCTTGTATTTTTTATTTCAACGTGCGACGTATGCAGGAGCTGCATTTTTTACCGTTGTATTTTTTAAGTTTAGATGCCTTTTTAATTATAGAAGATTTTTTTCTGCGCGTGCTTACGCAACATGTGATCGTCATGATGAATGTATGAATTATTGGATCACTTCTTATTTGAACAGGCATTACTGTGTTGGGACGCTTCGAAACTGCCAGATGCCTGTGCTTATTTATTACAGTATAATGGCCACTGAGAGCCTAGAAATTGTGCTTCTAGCAACTGCTTCAGCAGTGCGGCAATGAATAGAGTGAAGCCACAGTATGTTCCTTTGTAATGATGACAGTGCATGATGTTCCTTCGAAGAATCAGTCGTACACGAAGTCGCAAGCTAGGTGTGTAGCTTCAGGAGTCGATCATTCTGCAATGAAGAAAAGAGGCACAAGTCCTCAGCCACTATATTACCAACTGCTTTACCACTCACATGATGCTAATCACAAAATACTATTAGCATACTGCAAACTGTTGGAACGTGCCCGCAACGTTTGAGCTGCCGCGGAATACTCGAAGGCAAAATCTGCCACGCCAAACAGACTGCATGTATCACTCGGGCAATGTTCCAGACGTTCCTATCTGATTCTCAGAATGCCATGATCGCAGAGAAATAATTTCCGGCTGGTGTTCTTTGGCCATTCGAAAACTGGAAGTAAATTGGAAGTTTGTCTTTACAAAAGGAGCAACCAGCGACAAAATTTCAGTGTTATTCTTAGTGTGTAGTACAGCAGTGCTCCGTATTGTACAGTACTTGTTCATAATGTCTTCTCGTGTTGTGATTTACCAAACGCACCGGGCAGACGAGTAGGATATCCGGCACCGCAGCCGTCAAGGCTGCAATACCATGCCAGCAGTTCCCTGGTTCGACCAAAATTTGCGAGACTGATCAGCACAATTAGAGCATTATGCGCTCTTCATATATACGTGGCACTTGTCTGTATGAAAACATTCTTTGAAAGAGCACTGAATGATGGTAATCATTCAGCGATCATGATAATGTTTTGTCGGTTTAAGCGGTTCCTTAGAGCGACACAAGCAACCGCCATTTTGATAACATATATTAACTTGAATATTAGCGCCTCTGGAGATCACATGCCCAAACATACACCATGTAGACTATAACCTATGACACCATATCGCACTGACGGATTTCATTGTCTACCGCAAAAACAGTGTGAAAGTTAAGACACCTAGCTCTATTGCTGAGGAAGGCGTGGATTTTGTCTGTGAATATTATGAAATGAACTGTGGCACCGATAGTTCCATTGAGTCAGTCCGCTTAAATGACCGCTAGCAATTGCTGGTAAGTAATGCAACAGTGTTTGAAGCTTTCGCGATCTTATGCAAGCGTGCGAGCTTCAGCAGAGGATGGCCAGATTGTGGAGCAGAATAATTCGAGATACTTTGCCAAGTAGCTCTTTGCAGTCACCAGTGATTCTAATCTGTTGCATGAGGCAAGTTAATCGTATTTCGCCTTCATTTCTGTAAGCATTCACTAAGTCATTGCAGCTCGAACTTCTCAATCTGGAGAAGCACTTGTCATCGGGCAAGGCTCGCTCGGATACCTGAACTCCTGATAGTGCTCAAAATGCTTGAGTCAAAGAAAACCCATTTTTGCGCAAAGTTCTCAGGAACGCGGCTTTCCACTATGGACTAGGAATCATGATTATAGCGACCATGGGTATGAAGATCGATTTGAAAACAAACACCTTTTGGCCTTCAGGGTCAGCTCTGCTATAGTCATAACAATTCACAGACATTTCAATTCCCCAGTCAATCTTTTTCTCCCATTTCCGTCACCAACAACCCCTCCCCCTGCGGTACACGGTGAACTTCTACAGCTGCCCCACTACTTTCAACTATCTGCAGATCACGGCAGATAGGATAACGCTAAAACACTAAGAATTTGATTTTATACACGCTCACTTGCATGTCGTATTCAGCGATGAACCTCTCCAGAGAGCGCTGGAGGTCAGTTTCAAAAGATGCCAAGCAAATAAGGTCGTTTGAAAGCAAAACATTTTGCATGTACATCCTCTATGGTGATTTTCTCGTAACTCTGACTGCACCTGGCTAACTTCTCCATGCAATCCGTAAACAAGGGGAAATGATGATCTCTTGATGTACATCAGTGCCAACGCTAAAAGGATGTAATTTAACGTCATTTACTCATACATATCATTTGCAATCAACGTGTGGTTGCTGCATCGTTCACCACAACTGGCCATCGATCCAACATATCTGTAAGTTCTCCATAGGCTGTTGTGCGGTATTCGGTAATAAGTTTTATCCAGATCTACAAGCACAGGCAAACCAGATAATTGAACCACGACTTCTAAACAGCCTAATTTATGATGATGACAGAATCGGAGCTGCTTCAGCCTAAGTGAAAGCCAAACTTCTCCATTTAGATTTCAGAGTCAGCTGAAATTCCATAGATCCTACTTTCTGATATCTTTCGGTAAGCTTTTGCTGGAAGCTGGCTAAGGTAATTTCATGACAACTGGAATACTCCCTATGATTTCTCTATTAACCCTGTTCTCCAGTACTCGCTTTTTGCCGGCGACCTTGTTTTGTTGCCATATTCTGAAACGATCCACCAGAACTGCCTGGAAATGTTTGCAAACGAAGATGACACAGCCGGCAAGCGGGTGAACGTGCCTAA